TTTTTTGAGACCGAGTTTCGTTCCTATTGCCCGGGCTGGAGTGCAGTGGTACAATCTCTGCCCGCTACAGCCTCTGTCTCCTGGGTTCAAGCAGTTCTCCTGCCTCAGCCTCCCAAAGTGCTGGGATTATAGGTGTGAGCCACTGTGCCTGGCCACAACGATAACTTTTCTGATTTTCTGCAAGTATTTGGGGTTGGAGAAGCTCTTATTTAAACTTAATACTAAAGTAAATTCTATATGCATTTATAGTGAAACTGATAATTGTGCTAGAAGAAAACAGACATTTATAAAAATTGAATAGTAATGACTTTTTGAAACATGACAGAAAACACAGAAGCCATTAAAAAAAAAAACCTGATATCTAGGATTTTTGCAAAGAAAAAATGTTACAAGCCAAAGTTAAAGAGGAAAAATTGTCTGGGTATGGTGGCTCACACCTGTAATTTCAGCACTTTGGGAGGCCAAGGCAGGAATATTGTTTGAAGCCAGAAGTTTGAGACCAGCCTGGGCAACAAAGCAAGACTCTGTCTCTACAAAAAAGTTTTAAAACTTAGCTGGGTGTGGTGCCATGTTCCTATAGTCCTAGCTACAAGGGAGGCCAAGACAAGAGGACTGTCTGAGTCCAGGAATTTGAGGCTGCAGTAAGCCTATGATTGTGCTACTGCACTCCAGCCTGGGTGACAGAGAGACCCCTATCTCAATAATAATAATAATGATAATGAACCATAGAGGGAAATATTGTAATACATATGACAGCATGAGAAAATTTCAGTATATACATTTGTATGCATATATTTGTGTGTGTTTGTACCCTATAAATTGATAAGTAAAAGACCATTAAACTCCCCCCACCACCAAAATGCATAAAGGACAGGATTGATAGTTCATTGAACTGAAATACAAATGACATTGACATTTAAAGAAATGAAAAGATGTCATCTTCACTTATTAAAAAAAAATTTTTTTTTTTTTTGAGATGGAGTCTTGCTCTGTGGCCCAGGCTGGAGTGCAGTGGCATGATCTTGGCTTACTGCAACCTTTGCCCCCTGGGTTCAAGCAATTCTTCTGCCTTACTCAACCTCTCTAGTAGCTGGGATTACAGGCGCCTACCACCACGCCCAGCTAATTTTTTTTTTTTTTTTTTTTTGAGACGGAGTTTCACTCTTGTTACCCAGGCTGGAGTGCAATGGTGCGATCTCGGCTCACCGCAACCTCCGCCTCCTGGGTTCAGGCAATTCTCCTGCCTCAGCCTCCTGAGTAGCTGGGATTACAGGCACGTGCCACCATGCCCAGCTAATTTTTTTGTAGTTTTTGTAGAGACGGGGTTTCACCATGTTGACCAGGACGGTCTCGATCTCTTGACCTCGGGATCCACCCGCCTCGGCCTCCCAAAGTGCTGGGATTACAGGCTTGAGCCACCGCGCCTGGCCCAGCTAATTTTTATATTTTTTACTAGAGACGGAGTTTCACCATGTTGGGCGGGCTGGTTTCGAACTCCTTACCTCAGGTGATCCATCTGCCTCGGCCTCCCAAAGTGGTGGGATTACAGGCACAAGCCACTACACCTGGCCACCCCTAATATTTTTAAAATATTTGTTATAGAGATGAGGTCTCACTATGTTGCTGAAGCTAGTTCTGAACTCTTGAGCCCAGGTGATCCTCCCACTTCAGCCTCCCAAAGTGTTAGGATTACAGGCATGAGCCACTGGGCCAGGCCTTTTTTTTTTTTTTTTTTTTTTTTTTTGAGATGGAGTCTTGCACTGTTGCCTGGGATGGGGTGCATTGGTGTGATCTCGGCTTACTGCAACATCTGCCTTCCAGGTTCAAGCGATTCTCTTTGCCTCAGCCTCCCAAGTAGCTGGGATTACAGGCACCCACCACCACGTCTGGCTAATCTTTCTGTATTTTTAGAGATGGGTTTTGCTGTGTTGGCCAGGATGGTCTCGAACTCCTGACCTTGTGATTTGCCTATCTTGGCCTCCCAAAGTGCTGGGATTACAGGCATGAGCCACTGCATCCGGCCTCTTTTTTCTTTAAACCATAGATTAGGAATGGCTTTTTTGTGCATTACCCTATTCAAATAAATTAGTGATTAAAAAGAAAAGTTATAGTTTTAAGGTATCTGCAAACAGTTTGAACTGTTACTTAAATGAAAGACTTATATAGAAGCATGGATGCAGCTGGGCACAGTGGGTCACACCTGTAATTCTAGCACTTTGGGAGGCCGAGGCAGGTGGATCACCTGAGGTCAGGAGTTTGAGACCAGCCTGGCTTGCATGGCGACATCCCGTCTCTACTGAAAATACAAAAATTAACCTGGTGTGGTGACAGGTGCCTATAATCCCAGCTATTCAGGAGGCAGAGGCAGGAGAATCACTTGAACCTAGGGCACAGGATGCAGTAAGCCAAGATTGTGCCACTTCACTCCAGCCTGGGCAAAAGAGCAAAACTCCATCAAAAAAAAAAAAAAAAAAAGCATGAATGCTAAAAGTTATTTTAGAGAGCCAGTATCTAGCATGGTTGGGAAATTGACTGGAGTGGTATGCTTTCAGATATTAAGGGAAATGCTTTGTGATTTTTTTTCTTTCCTCTGAAGCTTGATCTGGGTGTGCAGTTCATTGCCAAACAAAGCATAGCAATTACTTCATGGCAAAGGATGCACTTAGAATACCACCACAAAACAGCTTTATTAAAATATAATTCTTGCCAGGTGCGGTGGCTCATGCCTGTAATCCCAGCACTTTGGGAGGCTGAGGTGGGTGAATCACAAGGTCAGGAGTTCAAGGCCAGCCTGACCAACAAGGTGAAACCCTGTCCCTACTAAAAATACAAAAATTAGCTGGGCATGGTGGCGTGTGCCTGTAATCTTAGCTACTCAGTAGGCTGAGGCAGGAGAATCACTTGAACCTGGGAGGCGGAGGTTGCAGTGATTACAAAAAAAAAAGATATAATTCTTGGTTAGGCACAGTGCCTTGAGCCTGTAATCCTCAGCACTTTGGAAGGCCAAGGCAAGAGGATCACTTGAGCCCAGGAGTTTGAGACCAGCCTGGGCAGTATGGTGAGATCCCATCTCTATAAAAATAAAAAAAACATTTAGCTGAGTGTGTTAATGCATGACTGTTGTCCCAGCTACCCTGGAGACTGAGGTGGAAGGATTGCTTGAGCCTGGGAGATGGAGGCTGCAGTGAGTCTTGATCACGCCAATGTACTCCTGCCTGGGTGACAGATCAAGACCTGTCTCAGAAAAAATATAAAAAAGATATAATTCTTATACTACAGAATTCATCCCTTTAAAGTGTAGAATTCTGTGATTTTTAGTTTATTCAGAATTGTTCAAACATCACCACTGTCTACTATGAGAACGTTTTCATCACTGCCGAAGGAAACCTTCCTTATACCCATTAGCAGTCAGATCCCAACCCCTGCTCTGCTCAGGTCCTGACAACTACTAATCTGTTTTTTGTTTCTATAGATTTGCCTATTTTGGACATTTCATGTAAATAGAATGCTATAATATGTTGCCTTTCGTGACTGGCTTTTTAAATTTAGCATAGTGTTTTCAAGATTTATTCCTATTGTAGTGTGAATCAGTACTTCACTCCTTTTTATGACTGAATAACATCCCATTGTGTGGACATACAACATTTATTAACTGTTGATGGACATTTGGATTGTTTCCAGTGTTTGGCTATTCTAAATAATGCTGCTGTGAACATTTGTGTAGAAATTTTTGTGTGTTTTCATTTCTCTCTAGTATTTACATAGGAGTGGAATTACTAGGTCATATATGAAAATTCTGTGTTTAACATTTTGAGGAATGGCCAAACTGTTTTTCAAAGTAGCTGCATCATTTTACAGTGCTACTAGCAATGTATGAGAGTTTCAGTTTCCCTGCTTCCTTGTTAACATTTGTTATTTTCTTTTTTTTAAAAAAATTTTTATCCCTCCTAGTGGCTATGAAGTGGTATCTCATTGTGGTTTTGATTTGCATTTCCCTAATGATTAATGATGTTGAGCATCTTTTCAGGTGCGTATTGGCCATTTCTGTATCTTTGGAGAAACATTCAGTCTCTTACTCATTTCCTTTTTCACATACATAATTAAAAAATTTTTTTTTAAAGACAGGATCTTGCTCTGTTGCCCAGGCTGGTCTCAAACTCCTGAGCTCAAGCAGTCCTCCCGCCTGTGCCCCCAAAGTGTTGGGATTACAAGCGTGAGCCACCACACCTGGGTTCTTGCCTATTTCTTAATTGGATTATTTGTCTTTTTATTGTTAAAACTGCATTTTATATAAATGTATTAAATATTTTAATTGTGTTAAAATACACATAACATAAAATTTGCCTTCTTAACCATTTTAAGTGTATCATTTAGTAGTGTTAAGTGCATTCACACTGTTATGCAGTCATCTTCAGAACACTCTTCATCTTGCAAAACTAAAACTCATTCAATAACAATATACTCATTCAATAACAATTTCTCAATAACAATTTCCCAGTTTTCCCATTCTTTCTTTACCTCAGCCCCTGGTAACTACCATTCTATTTTCTGTTTCTATGAATTTGGCTACTCTAGGTACTTCATATAAGTGGAATCATAAAGTGTTTGTCTTTTTGTGACTAGCTTAGTTCACTTAGCATATTCATAGCTTATGTCAGAATTTTTTTCCAAAATGAATACATTTTTTTTTCTAAATTTTTAAATTCTTTTATGAGACCTTTTACATCGATTTTTTTTTTTTTTTTTCTGGGATACAGTCTGGCTCTGTTGCCCAAGCTGGAGTGTAGTGGTGCAATCTTGGCTCGCTGCAACCTCCACCTCTCGGGTTCAGGCGATTCTCCAACCTCAGCCTCTCGAGTAGCTGGGATTACAGGCGTGGCCCCCCAAGCCGCCAGGCTAATTTTTGTATTGTTAGTAGAGACAGGGTTTCACCATGTTGGCCAGGCTGGTCTTGAACTCCTGGACTCAAGTGATCTACCCACCTCGGCCTCCCAAAGTGCTGGGATTACTGGTGTGAGCCACTGCACCTGGTCACGAATACATTTTTTATTACTTTTATTTTCTGAGTAACCTATGACCCTTAATAAGGAAAGATACTTGTGTTATCTATGTATGTATATAGTCACATGGAACATCTATATGAATGTTTATATGCATATACAGACAGTAAGCATATGGTGCAGGTATGTGAGTAGGGTAAAGTATTTTTTTTTTTTTTTTTTTTTTTTTGAGACAGAGTTTCACTCTTGTTACCCAGGCTGGAGTGCAATGGCGCGATCTCGGCTCACCGCAACCTCCGCCTCCTGGGTTCAGGCAATTCTCCTGCCTCAGCCTCCTGAGTAGCTGGGATTACAGGCATGCGCCACCATGCCCAGCTGATTTTTTGTATTTTTAGTAGAGACGGGGTTTCACCATGTTGACCAGGATGGTCTCGATATCTTGACCTCGTGATCCACCCACCTCGGCCCCCCAAAGTGCTGGGATTACAGGCGTGAGCCACCGCGCCCGGCTAGGGTAAAGTATTTTTGATTGTATTATATGAACAAGCAGTTATGATCTTGAATCATTTATTGCATAAATCTTAGCAGTATTAAAAGAGAAGCTTTCTGTGAGGATGCAAAGAGAAATGACATCTACATTAGTGAACTTTAAAATCACAAGCTTGCAAGTAACTGTAATCCTGGAATATTTTCCAAGCCTGTAAATGAAAAAGCGACGTGTACAGTGGTGAAGAGATTAAAAGCAACCTGTTAAAATGGTATTCTGGTAGCAAAGAGCACACCTGCCATCCAGGTTTGGGATCCTAAATACCATTGCTTACTAAAAGAGACTAGCACTCCTTGGAGTAGTGATGGATACCTGTAAAGTGAGGAAGTACTCAAAGGCAGAGGAGGTAATGTCAGAAGGACATAGGAGCAGATTTGAAGAGGCTCCCAAAGGCCAAATTTGAGAGAATTTGAGAATCAACAAGAATAATGATAGTAACAGATTATATAGCACAGTGAATTGAAAAACAAAAACTTTTTTTTAAGTCTATGGAGAATAAAAAAAAATTGAGACGGAAAAAAAGAAAGTGATTTTTTTTTCTTTTTTCTTTTTTTTTGCATTTTTACTGAAACTGCTTTTGCAATGATTTTTTCTTTTTCAAAACAAACCAACCAACCCAGAAGAATGTTAATGAATGTAGAAGGAATAATGAAATTTTAAAAATCAGTATTTTGACTGGGTGCAATGTCTCATGCCTGTAATCTCAGCACTTCAGGAGGCCGAGCAGGTGATCCCTTGAGCCCAGGTGTTCAAGACCAGCCTGGGCAACAAAGCAAGATTCTGACTCTGCAAAAATGAAAATAAAGATTACTGTTTTGTAATCATCAATGTAATGAATTAGGCAAAGATTATTAATGAATCTAAAACCATAAGGAGGAAGATTGTTGGAGAACAAAAATATTCATGTAGTCTCAAATTATTATTCCACATATTATTATTATTATTGTTTTTTTCAAGAGAGAGTCTTGCTCTGTCGCCCAAGGCTGGAGTGCAGTGGCGTGATCTCGGCTCACTACAACCTCCACCTCCCAGGTTCAAGCAGTTCTGCCTCAGCCTCCCAAGTAGCTGGGATATCAGGCGTATGCCACCACACCCATCTAATTTTTATATTTTTTGTAGAGATGGGGTTTCACTATGTTAGCCAGGCTGGTCTCGAACTCCTGACCTAGTGATCCACCCACCTCAGCCTCCCAAAGTGCAGGGATTACAGGTGTAAGCCACCACACCTGGCCCACATATTATTAATTATAAAGAGATAAATAAGCCTTGAAATTAGAGTGATCTATTGGTGACTGCATTTACTAAGTGGTTGAGGTTGGCATGTCCAGTAGTGAGATGGCCCAATATTATGTAATTCCTTATGTGATGCTCTGGGGGAGTTGCATAGCAAGACCTGTGTGTGTTCTTGCTAGAAGTCTTTGTTCTGAATCTAACCCTGAGAAAGTAGACACATCTAGAATGTGGTGCATGATGTGTGGGGACAACTGGAATTGGACAGGACTCTTTTTTTTTTTTCCCTAACACAGGGTCTTGCTCTGTTGCCCAGGCTGGAGTGCAAAGATCATAGCTCACTATAACCTCAAACTCCTCAGCTCCAGTGATCATCCCGCCTCAGCCTCCCAAACAGCTGGGACTACAGGCTTGTGCCATGACCCACACTCAGATAATTTTCAACTTTTTTATAGAGATAGGGTCTCACTGTGTTGTCCAGGCTGATTTCAAACTCCTGATCTCAAGTGATCCTTCTACTTTGGCCCTTCAAAGCACTGGGATTATAGGTATAAGTCACCATGCCTGGCCAGGACTCCTGAAATGAGTCACTGTCCTGAAGAACGGAGCAAAGTGGTAGAGGAAGAGAACTGGGGGAACATTCTAGATTGGTAAATGTAATGCATGAACGTTGACTATATTGGGGAAAAAAACAGCCATTTAACACATATCCATGTGTTACCCCTAAAAGGGTTCTGTGGAATATTAGGAACTTTCTGGTTTGAAAGTTTGAAAAGTCTTGGATTATGTGAGGCTGTATCTATTAAAGCCTTCTCTCCATATATTAGCTGGGGGAAAGGGTATCTTTAACTTTTTAAAAATTCTTTTTTTTTTTTTTTTTTTTTTTGAGACGGAGTTTCACTCTTGTTACCCAGGCTGGAGTGCAATGGTGCAATCTCCGCTCACCGCAACCTCCGCCTCCTGGGTTCAGGCAATTCTCCTGCCTCAGCCTCGTGAGTAGCTGGGATTACAGGCATGCGCCACCATGCCCAGCTAATTTTTGTATTTTTAGTAGAGACGGGTTTTCACCATGTTGACCAGGATGGTCTCGATCTCTTGACCTTGTGATCCACCCGCCTCGGCCTCCCAAAGTGCTGGGATTACAGGCGTGAGCCACCGCGCCCGGCAAAAATTCTTTTTTTAAGCTCCCAAGTGCTTAGAAACCTTAGCTTTAAATAAAAGTACAACTTTTTATTATGGAAAATTATGGAAGAGTTCCAGTACCATATATGCAAATAAAATAGTATAACGAACGAATAAATCACCCAGCTTTAATAATGACCAACAATGAACTAATCTTGTTTTGTCTAACTCTCTCTCTCTCTCTTTTTTTTTTTTTTTTTTTTTTTTTTTGAGACACAGTCATGCTCTGTGGCTCAGGCTGGATGGAGTGCAGTAGCACAATCTCAGCTCACTGTGCCCTTCACCTCCTGGTCTCAAGCCATCCTCCCACCTCGGCCTCTAGAGTAGCTGAGACTACAGGTGTGCACCATCACACCCACCTCACTTTTGTAGAGATGGGTTTCTCTGTGTTGCCCAGGCTGGTCTCGAACTCCTGAACTCAAGTGATCTGCCCGCCTCGGCCTCCCAAAGGGCTGGGATTACAGGCGTGAACCACTGCTCCTGGCCTAACTCTCTCTTTAGCTGAAGTATTTTAAAGTGAATTCCAAACATACATAATATTATTTCATCCCTGGATACTTTAGTATAAATCTCAATGACTTTAAAAACAAACTACAATGCTATTATACCTAGCAATGTGCTTTAATATCTTATGTTTAGTCCATCTTCAAACTTTGCCAGATATTTAAACATTTTTTAATAGTTAATTTGCTTAAATCAATATCTACACAGAGTCTATACATTGTATCTTTTTGGTCCTTTCAGCTTTTAAAGTCTCTTTTAATTTTTAAAGAAAGATCCCCTTCTTTTTTTAAAATGCCATTTGTTTATAGACCAAACTAGTTCATTTGTTATATAGAATTTTCCATATTCTGAATTTGATTAATTATTTCCTAGTGGTGGTTGACTTATTCAAAAGCTTTTTTTTTTTTTCAGAAACACTTCCTAATGGTCCTTCCTGTTGCATCACGTCAGGAGGTCCATAACATCTGGTCATCCATTTTTAGTGATTGGAATAAGTAGTTGTCAATTTTTTTTAATTGTTACACACACAGTATAGTTCACACATCTTAAGTGTACAGTCTGATGAATTTCAATATGTGTACGTATGTATAACCACTAGTTAGAAGGTTCTCTTGTGCCCTCTCTTAATTATCCCCCAGCCCCAGGGTAACCAGTATTCTGGCTTTTATCACCTAGATTCGTTTTGTGGAATAGGACATTTCCATTATACCCTTCTCTTTGGCATTGGCTATTTTCATTGATAAAATGTTTTTAAATTTTTGACATAATTTCCGACTTACAGAAATGTTATACAAATAGTACAGTTCCTGTATACCTTTATCCACACAGGGTCTTACCGTTGGTAAAACAAATCTCACCATTTGTTTTATCAATTATTCTCTCTCCCTTCTTTACCCCCTCCCTCGCGTGTGTGTGTATGTGTGTGTGTGTGTGTGTGTGTGTGTGTGTGTGTGTGTATTAATTTCCTTTTTTCCGAGCTCTTTGAGAGTAAATTGCAGGCATGATGCTTTTTACCTTTAAAAATAAGGACATCCTCTTATGTAACCACAGTATAATTTTTGAAATTAGCATTGATATAACACTATTAGCCAATTTACAGACTTTATTCAGATTTCATCGTTTGTTCTGATAATGTTCCTTATAACATAATCTGCGAAAAAAATGGCAGATTATAAGGTTTTTACAGTTGTCATGTCTCTATTTTTTCCTTTAAAGAATGACTGTGGAATGGTTCCTTATTCTTTTATGGCCTTGAAAATCTTGAAAATTTTTTTGAATATGGGCCACTTATTTTATATAATGTCCCTCGATTTGAGTTTGTTTGATGTTTCCTCATAGTTCAATATGGGTTTTTCATTTTTGCCTGGCATATCCCAGAAATGAAGTATCTTAGCAGAGGCATTTGATGTCAGTGTGTCCCATAATTGTGATGTTGACTTTGATCATCTAATTAAGGTAGTGTTGACCAAGTTTTTCCACTAGAAAACTTTTTTCTGGACTCTATTGTAAAATTACTGTTTTTCTTTTTGTGATAAGTATCTGGGGCAAACCCTTTGAGATTGTGTAAATATCCTGTTTATTTTTCAAATGTTAGTCTACTAGTTTAGATTCCATTTATGATTTTTACCTGAATCAGTCAGTTATTATTGAGATGGCTGCCCAAAGGATGTTTTTTATCATTTTTTCTACTATGTATTTATTTGTTGGGAATAGTTTCCCCTATTTTTCATTTATATATATATAAAATGATGTATTAATTTATCACCGTGGGTTAATGGATACATATTTTTATCAAACAAGATCTGGTAGTAAAAAATGTGTTTACTGCTATTGGATCTGATTTTTTTTTTTTTTTTTTTTTTTTTTTTGAGATGGAATCTTGCTCTGTCACCCAGGCTGGAGTACAGTGGCGTGATCTCAGTTCACTGCAACCTCTGCCTCCTGGGTTCAAGCAGTTCTCTGCCTCAGCCTCCCAAGTAGCTGGGATTACAGGCGCCTGCCACCACACCCGGCTAACTCTTGTATTTTTAATAGAGACAGGATGTCACCCTGTTGGCCAGGCTGGTCTTGAACTCCTGACCACAGGTGATCCACCTGCCTCAGCCTCCCAAAGTGCTGGGGTTACAGGCGTAAGCCACCGCACCTGGCCTAATTTTTGTATTTTTAGCAGAGACGGGGTTTCACCATGTTGGCTAGGCTGGTCTTGAAGTCCTGATCTCAACTGATCTGTCCCCCTTGGCCTCCCAAAGTGCTGGGGTTACAGGTGTAAGCCACTGCACCTGGCCAAATTTATATCCTTTGGCTCTGTCAATTCTACTTCTTATAAAAGAAGATTTTTATATAGATTATTATCCTATAGACATACCCTATGTTTATTTCATCTTCTTTTTTTTTTAATAGAAGATTAGAGCTATCTCCCATTATTGATATTTGTTATTGTAATATATTCATACAAGAATAAACTCCTTAATCACAAAAAAGAGTGAACAAGCTATTTATTGATATGAAATGTCTTTCAAAATATCCTAAATAAAAAAGTGCATAT